TAAATTCATTAAGAAATGGTATAAGTATTGTACCATTGAAATGTTCAGCAATCATTTTAAGTACAACACGTGTTATACAACTATGTAAATTTAAATGATCATGAATTTTTTTACAAATCTTATTTTAAAATTTTATTTAAATAGAAATTAAAAAATTTTAAAAGGTTTTTTTAATTTACTTTATTTAATCGTTCATCAATAACTTCTTTTGCATGAAAATCAATATAGAATTGATCTAATGTTTCTGATGTAATTGTAGTCTCCGAAATTAATGCATCAAAATTTTCTGGTAACAACCATAAGTAGGGTTTTCTAAGAGCTACCATTACTTGAGTAGTAGACACTTTTAAATCAATAAGAGAGTAGATTATAAAACGTTATTGATATATGGTAACTTACAGGACATAATTTTTGGCGTACAAACGTGAGTATGATCTCTGGTCTTCTCTTCATCTACACTCACTCATGTCATGGAAATCAGAGATGGACGAGCCGCGGTGTAAAACCGCCCCGTCCCGCCCCGCCGTGGGGCGGTGCTAAAACTTGACGGGGCGGGGCGGTGACGGTGCATGACGAAATTTCGCGGTTTCCCCGCCTTTGTATAACCTTGGTTTTTTAAATATACTCAGACCTTTAGAGACATCTTTTAAAAATTTAAAAATTTTTTCACAAAACTAATCAGTAAAAAAAAACTTGTTAGCGCAGCTCCAGAGGAGCTAAAATGTGGAACTCACATATATTTTTTTAATTTTTTGTCCTGATGCCTTATTTTTAAATTGTAAAATACCTTTTTTCCGAATACGTATGAAATCATTGATATATTATACAAAAAACTAGAGCCTTTAATGCGCTGCTGAGGTTTGTAATGGTGGTGGTCATGGTTATCAGATCGAAAATTAAATAAATCAGAAAAATTTTTCTAAAAATCGGGAAAAAGTCGAAATTTTTGTTCTCGAAATCGGAAGAAAATCAGAAAGTATTTTTCCATGCTTAAATAACTAGTTTATATATTTTCGATAGCTTCAATATCCTTTATCTTGCTTCTGTTCATCTTTTCGAAGCAATATCGGAAATGATATTTCATAAAGAATTAAAGAAAATATCGATTACACAATTTACCAAGGGGGAAAAAGCGGATCCTTTCGGATCCTAGGATCCAAAAGAATCCGACAGGATCCACAGGATCCGGTAGGATCCAAAAGGATCCATAGGATCCAAAAGGATCCATAGGATCCAGAAGGATCCAAATACATCCAAATGGA